AAACCCCAAAGACAAGATCCAGCTAGAAAACCAAGGAGTTTATGAAATACCATGCAACAATTGCCAGCCACATACATTGGACAAACCAACAGGAGAATAAATGCACGCATCGCAGAACACAAAAATGCAGTCAGAAGAGAAGAAAATACTTCCTCCATCTTCCAGCACCTTAAAGCCACAGGACATGAAATTAATTTTGAAGGAACCAAATTAATATCCAACACTGAACACTCCAGCAAGAAAAAAGGCTGCTTGCACTGGCATGTAGCTGAAAGCACCAGCCTGAGGATGGCAAGTGGGAACTCGCTGAAACATCACCAAGATACTCCTAATCTTACACGGGAAAAGACCCGAACACACCTAGACCTACATGTATATGTATGGTATTCAGCTTTGTTCGGATATTTTCCCACGTCATTATAGTTGTGCTTTTAAAGTTGTCGCAATGTTTCAGCAGAATCTCATCTGCCATCATCAGGCTTCTATATTGTGTTCGTCAGATGAACACAATACAGAAGGCAGATGATGGCAGATGAGATTTTTCTTAAGTTTTCGCGGGTACTTACATGTATGGCATTCAGCTTTGTTCGGGTATTTTCCCACGTCATTGTAGTTATGCTTTTAAAGTTGTAGCAACGTTTCGGCAGAATCTCATCTGCCATCATCAGGCTTCTGTATAGTGTTCATCTGTGAGTCAGGCTTTTGATCTGAAACCACTGTAAAAGCCTGACTCACAGATGAACACTATACAGAAGCCTGATGATGGCAGATGAGATTCTGCCGAAACATTGCTACAACTTTAAAAGCATAACTACAATGACGTGGGAAAATACCCGAACAAAGCTGAATGCCACATATATATATATATATACACACACATACATACATACATACACGCACATATATACATATATAAACAATAAAGCAAATAATTACATAAAACAAAAAGAATAATATGAAAAAATAATGAGAAAATTTTTGCTTGTTATAAAATTTAGAATTCATTATTCATTGATTAAATAATATAAAAGACTGTATAAAATTAAAAGTACTGTATCATCTTGAGAAATAAGTGCAAATACCTAAAACTCAACTATAATATATATATTAATGTTGCCAAAGTTTATCATCACTTTTTATCATTATCTAAGGTAAAATCACATAATTTTATAAAAAAAGAAAAATGGAGAAAAATTTAAAGAAAATACTAAAACTATCCGTAGAAGGAATATTCAATTCTACATTCCCTCCCATTATTTATAAATGTTGAAATTGCTTCTGGTTTCTGTTTTGTTACAAGAATATCCCCACAAATAACAACAAAAACAACAACAAAGTAGTCTAAGCATCTATGTTTACTTGTTGTATGACACGCAATATAGTGTAAGTGGGGGCTTATTCCTAACCAAATATTTGTTTGGGATGTAATTTTTCCAATACTTCATATTCCCCTAGTTTTTTTTTTACCAAATTGTCAGCAAAATATATATTTTCAAATGTTGGACTAAAACTGTCCTTTGCAATCCGCATATAACTTAATAAATGGAGATATTTTAAACTTTTGTTCTTATCTATCTACTCTTGTACCATGGCCATTAGTGGCTTCATGTTAAATCATTTTACTGGTCACCAGAAACAATTAAGTCTTAATTCCTGATCATCCTATTTAAAATGAAAGTACAAATATTTTTTATAAAAATGTATTAAGCAGAACTGATATAAACTAGGAGGAGGAAAAAAACCTAAGTAGTTTTGATTTTTTTCTTCTTCTTAACAGCAGGATGGAAATTTAAATGAATATTTATGAATTAAATCAGGATAACACAATGGAGTTTCACAGCATAAAACTTGATCTTATTAGCAATTATGGTTTAAGTTTGAAATACTTATAATTGCAAATGAGATCAAATTTTATAAATATCACTTGTTATGTATTTGATAATGTATGTATCTCTGTTTTGTTCTCATTTTTCTTTGTTATGGTTTTATAAGCAATAAAATGTTTCAAAAAGTTTTATGAATAGCATGTATCTTTCAATATTTTAAATCTTTTGATTTAAAACAAGCAAACTTTGCTATAGTTTTGAGGATTGAAAAAAGACTTTAAATCTTGTCCTACATCAAAAAATAAATGAGTATAGCAAATGAATTAATTTTTCTGCAACATCTTATTGTATTACCCATTTAATTATAGTATTCCTTACTTCCAATGTTGTTATTATAATTTTGTTACTGTGAATAATGTTTTATTTTATTTTTTACTTTATTTAATGAATGATGACACTCTCACCCATGCAGTTAAAAACCTTCTCCCCTTTCTTTTATTATTTTGGTGTTTATTGGATACACAGTGCACATAAAAAAGAGCATGTGTTTGTCACCATCATGATTCTTCAGATGCCTCTGGTATTTCTATACAGTTTTCTCAGCAATAATATGTAAAATATTAAATCAGAATGCAGCCACAGCTATTTCTAATTATGATTAATGAGTTGCCTAACAAAATTAATGGAAATATTGTTTAATGACTGTAAATGTTACTTATCAGATAAAGTGGTTAATATGTATGCTAAACCAGGGATCTCCAACCCTTAGGCCATGGACTGGCATCAGTTTCTGACCTGCCAGCATCCTGGCACAGAAGCGAGTGCGGGATTCAGGCAGAGTATGAAACCATACCCTCCCCCAGTCTGCAGAAAAATCACCCTCCATAGAACCAGTCCCTAGGACCTGAAAGATTTGAGGCCATAGTGTTAAACAATTGTTTCTTACTTGGATTATCTTTAATGTTGATTATATTTTATTTATTTTTTTCTTTATCTCTGCCACCTTGACTAGTTTTGCTTAAATATTTTTTTTTTGCATTTTCTGTGTACCACTCCTCTGCCTCCTATCTATTTTCCAGACTACAAAAAGGTATAAATTTCTTCTTTCTCCTATTGAAATCCTTTTCTTAAATCAGTCAATTCAATTCAATCACCCCTAATATTTATACATATTGATATTAAGGATGAACAGACAAGTGTGTATCCAGGATGACTTTTCCCTATTTATGTTCATTTTATCACATTTTTGCTTTAAAACATCGAATAAAAATTGAATATGCATATCAACATATATTTAAAATACATATTTAAGGAACATCTGTTCTTTCAAGAAAAAACATTTAATTGCATTTTTTCATGTTTTTAAATATTTAAGTGAATTTTAATGCATTGAGCTAAATACTGTTTTTAGTTCAGAAATGTACAATAAGGGATTAGAATTTAGTCTAAGGAATATTTCTCAGTCCCCATTCTTCCTCTTATGCCATTATTATATGCCAGATATATTACCAATATATTGTTAAAAACTAAATTTCACAAGTAGTATTTAAAATTACAGAAAATTGTACCTGTTAAAAAATAAACACAGTTGAAAAGTTTTGCATAAACTATTTAATGCCGAATTCTTTTGCTGAAATTTGCCCTCCAAATGTTTAATTATATTTACTGTTTCTTAATATATTCCTGTTCTTTATAAAATGTATTTTTGATGAAGTATGATGAAATAAGGATGCTTAAAATCTTTGTATTTTTCCTTAAGATGACACCTGTTTTTAATATTACTTACCAATGTACTTTCTTGTTTGTATAAAGGTCAAAATTATGTATAACTGAATGCCTTTGGCTATTAATATGCATTGTGGCATATGCAATGATGCATATGTGTCTATATCAATAAAACATTATTGCACTGTTCGCTGTTGATAGCTACAATATTCAGCTGAAATAAATGCTAGCTATTTAGTATTTATTTTTAGGCTTTGCTGATTATAATAATTTCTGAGTTTTCTGAGTTTTGCTAACAGAAAAAGTAATTTCTGTGAATTGGAAAGAAAGCATGAGAAGGCAGAAGTTTAAAAATTGCACTCATTGGCTGCAGTTCCCCTAGTTCCATGCTTCCGTGACCACTGCAGAAAATCTGGACTGATGCTAATCTGAGAGGACAGTCATGCCTCGTGAAAAAATCATTACTGCTAATCAAATCAGAGTGAAAACCCACACTGTGCCTCACCAGAGTCATGCCATGCATTGAATATTTCATGACATGGTGACTCTGACCATTACCAAACACTCTAAACTGCTCTTTGTTGTGTGTATACCTAAATACTCCAGTGTAGTCAAACTGGTATGCAGGAAGACCAGTAAGCATAAACATTTAGAAGTAATTGAAAATATATGCAACATGATACTTACTAGATCAGATAGTGGCTTTGGTCAATCTCCCTTGTTTTGTCAGGCTACTTGTCTGCATGTATAAGTGGGAAATATGTCACAGGAAACCTAATGCCCCCAAGATGACATATCTATTTTGGCTGCTGAAAATTGAACTCAATCATGGATCAGCAGAAACATCAAAACACAATCAAGGATTGACATCAAACCTGCAAGCCAGAGATGTCCTCAGGCAAAAAGGGTGAAATTGAAAGCACAAGAAAAGAGAGCTTTTGTTTGTCTTAAGTGCTATGGCAATTATTTTTGCTGAGTTGTTTCAAAAATCTTTTGGTGCTTCTTTAGATATGGATCATCCCACCAGGGCTAGCAAAAGGGTAAAGTGAAATAAAGCAAGATATTGCCTTTCATGATTTTTATTTCTCATATCAATTCTCAGTAATTAGCCTTGGACCTTTTTTACTTTGCTGTCTCTATTTATTCTTGACTTATTTCTAAAAGTTCAATGGAGGAAGGAAACAAAAAAATTAAGATAAGTGTCTTGGTAAAACGGAAAAAAAGTATTATACTTCTTTGCTCACAGAGAGCATTAATTGTCTCAGTATAAATGTTCTGAATTGGTTTGAAAGTCAGCTTATAATTTATCAGACTTTCTCAGACTCTAGAAAACATATTAGATTTTAGGATGGCCCACCAAGGTTTCTTCTGTTTTATAGAGAGCCATACTGGCACAAGAAATCACAAGAATATTGGAGAAAGCTTTTGTGACATGACCAAATAAGTTTACAATATATTCCTGTAGGGAAGAATATTAATACTAGTACTAATAATATGAGCCAGTCACTCATTAGAATAAATGACAAATTTGTGTCAACAATTGTTCCAGCTATTTACAAAAATAATAAATCCTCCATGACATTCTTTTTACAACTCAGATTATTGCTTTTGGAATGACTTATTAATTATGCTGTCACATGTATCCATTGGGAAACAAGAGAAAGCTGTTAGGTTGAATACACCAAGTCCTAAGCTACTTGTCTCAGTTGAAGCTGAAGAGTAATTATTAGTTACTTGTTTCTAATAAAGTGTAACCTCTCTTCAGTGGGTCCCTTTAGTATGAGCCCCTCCTTAACACTTGTATATATACATGTGTAGACGTGTGTGTGTGTGTGTGTGTGTGTGTGTGTGTGTGGTATTTAGGTTTCTTCGGGTATTTTCCCACGTTTTAATATTTGTGCTTTTAAAATTATAGCAATGTTTTGGCAGAATCTCATCTGCCATTCTCAGGCTTATGTATTGGGTTCTTTTTAATCGTGTGTGTGTTAGGCTTGGCAGCCGTTTTTTGTTTGAATTTGGTGCTGGCTTTCTGCTTTATTTGAATTGTTTTTTCCTCCTCCTGATTGGCTGTGTTTATTGGTCTTCGAGTTGCTGTGTTCTTGATCACATTGTGTTTTGTGAATTGGAGTTTCTTAATGCAGCTTGGTTTCTTGTGAATGGCTGATAATTATTTATTAGGAAGCTAGGTTTTATTTGGGTAGCTGGCTGGGGCATGTTTGGGCTGGAGATATTGGGGGGGGGTCTGTTTGTTTCCAGGTGCTTGCCTGGATTGTGGTATAGAGATTTTTTTGTTTGTGAGTACAGGCTTCCAGATGATTGATAGTCTGGTGGAGTCATCTCTTCTGTTCATACTATTAGGTATGCCTTCTCTGATGATTCTGTAGCTGGGGCTTTCTATAGTAGCTAGGGTTTTGGTGCCATTGAAGTTGATGTGACCTGTGGCTTTCATATGTTGGACTAGTGAGGAAGTGTGTTCCAGCTTTTTTATTACATTCTTGTTTTCTTCAAGGCGGGTACTTATCCTTCTGTTGGTTTGTCCTATGTATGTGGCAGGACATGATGCGCAGGGTACTTCATGTATGCCTTGGTTTTCAAGGTCAATTTTATCTTTGGGGTTTCTTAGGATGGCTGCTATTTTTTGTCCATTTTGAAGGCAGTCTTGATGTGATGCCTGCATAGTATCTTGCTGATTTTGTCTGCTGTTCCTTTTATGTAGGGCAGGACACCTGTTTCATAGGTTTGTTCATCTTCTGGGTCTCTATTCTGCTTCAGTGTGTTTTTGTGGATCAGGTCTGTGATTTTGTTTTTGTGGAAGCTGCTGGCTATCAGTATTTTGGTCAGGGTGCATAGTTCAGTCTTTATGTGTGTCTTGTCTGCCAGGTGTTTGGTTCTGGTAATTAGTGTTTTGGCCATGGAGTTTATTTGTGCTGGGTGGTGGTGGGATTGAGCGTTTAGGTAGTGGTTGGTGTGTGTTTTCTTCTGGTATATGGTATGTCCTAGTGTGCCATCTGTTGTTTTGTAGATTAATACATCTAGGAATGGTAGTTGTTTGTTTGTTTCCATTTCCATGGTGAATTTGACTCCCTAATAACAATGATAGTTGTTTTGGATCTTCCTGACAGTTGTTAGGAAGTTAATATCCTATATTGCAGCATTTTATAAGTAGCTTAGAATGCATGCAGAATACTAAAAAGCACTGCATATGATTTTGTGTTTATGCAATAGTTGTATAAAGAATTGTTTTATGCACTATTTCATTGATATACACTTGTAAAAAATAATACCATGAAAGAGTCTCCTCTCTCTATTCATGATATTTCCTTCCTTCCTTCCTTCCTTCCTTCCTTCCTTCCTTCCTTCCTTCCTTCCTTCCTTCCTTCCTCCCTCCCTCCCTCCCTCCCTCCCTCCCTCCTTCTCCCACTTCTCCTTCCTACCAAATATCTGTATGCAATTGCAATATAAATGTTAAAAGTGAAATTAAGTAAGCAAGCTAAACTGGTAACGAATTACACATGTGCAGAGATGGGCTTCAAAATTTTTAGCAAGGGGTTCTCTGCCCATTTGCTGGGTGGGCAGAGCCATGGTGGATGTGGCCTAGTCAGTCTCCTGCACCATGGTGTGGGGGGTGTTCTTGCCCTCCCTGGGCTCCAGAGGCTTTTCTTGAGGCTCAGGGGGGGGTGGGGGGGCGAAAACAGCCGCCATGGACTCTGGAGGTTCTCTGGAAGTCACAAACTGTCCCATTTCCAGCCTTCCAAAACTTTTGGGAGGCCCATTTTTGCTGTCTGAGTATCTGTGCGCACCCTGCACTTATCTGCATTTAAAATGAGCCGCATGGGGACTCCTGGAAGGGGTGGGGCGGGATAGGCGGAGCCAGCCAGGAATGGGATTTGGGGGTTCTCTGAACTGTGCAGAATCTTAGCTAGGGGTTCTCACAAACCCCTGCAAACCCTCCAGCAGCCCAACCCTGCATATGTGTCGGCTTTACAGGTAATAATAGTTAAACTGGCATGTAGGGAGATTGGAACACAGAGTGGAGAAAGGTAGGAAATGATAAAGATAGACAGAAAGTGTGTTTTAATTTATGTAGTTCATCATTTCTCTTTAAATTAGTAACTTTAAATTGACATAACTGGCTTTGCTGAAGCAATGATGAACCAGAAAAACAACCAATGTAAATATCACATAGCAGTAAAACAACCACGGTTAATAAAGTTAGTTACAGGTCAATGGTATGTTATTGAAATAAATTGAAGTGAAACAGTATCAAACAGAAGCATTACAGATTCCTGACTATAAAACTGACACTCACCAAACTAAAAGCAAAACCACATTAGTTTGACCCCAGAATTTTAAATGTAACTTCCAGTAGCTGGCTTCTTAAAGAGGGGGCAAATAAAGGCCTCCTTAAGAGGCAAAAAAAAAAAACACCAAAAAAACCAACCAACTCACTCAAGAATGAATTCACAATGGCTAGAACCCACTCATACAATATCTCTATGATTGCTTTGATAAGTCAGGAGATGCATGTATCTAAAGAGAAGTTAGCCAAATTCACAGTTCTAAGTTCCCTGTCCACTTCATTAGGGCCAACAGATTCAAATTGTTCCAGATCACCGGGCAAGAATCCCCCCACAGGCAATTGCCCTGGACTTGAAATAAGATGCTTTCAACCAGGAAGAATTTGAATGGCTAAGAAATGCTGAACAAATTCTTTGCATCTTGCTGCAATGCATTGTCCTAGCTCCCTCTACTCAAAAGGACATGTGTCAACTGAAGCAGGGCTTCAACATGGTATCTATAAATGCAGTAAGAGACCAAAAGTACTAATACTTTGCAACTCTTATTGCCAGAAGGTAGATCTTAATCATGGTGCTGTGTCTAGTCAAACAATAGTTTAGATGTCTCTTCTCTATTTCAACTACAGTATCTTAACTCCTCTGTAAATCGTGGGGAATGACAGGATCTATGAGAGGAGAGAAGACATATTTGTAAGCGGGGGTAGGGGTCGACCCGTATAACTACTGGTTCGGTGATTTATGATTTGCTGCACGCATGTGTAAATCATCATCAGCTTGCTGTCTGGACAGCTGAGCAGTGCTGCGCGCAGGTGCACAGTGGTTGAAAAAGCACTTTTTCCTGCTTTTTCAACCATAGCTGTGCCACGCAAAGCAGCTGTGGTTGAAAAACCAGGAAATAAAGGTCAGGTAAGAGCCTGGGCAGGTGGGTGGGCCAAAACAGCAGCGGACATAGAACCAGTTCTATGTCTGTTGCTCTTCAGAGCTACCGGTTCTACAGAGCCAGACAGAACCAGTAGAATCCCATCCCTGTTTGTAAGGTCCAATCCAATGCCCCTGTTGTGGTAATATATTTTATTAATCATTTTCTGTAAGTCCTTTGTACAGCTATTTTGCATAGATCTAGGGATTTGCAAATGCTCCTGGTGGGGGCAGTAGCGCCTTTGCTATGGGTGTTTCATCCTGTTTGATCTGCGAGCTTAGAGGGACCAGGAATATAGGTGAAAGTTCATGGTACACAGCAGAGACTTTCCCATGGGATTTTTCGTGCCTGTATGTTCTCATGGGACTTTCCACAGCTGCATATTCTCATTCTGTTGAGGTCATTTGTTTTTGATTCTGTACTTTTGATTTCTTTCTTAAATAAATACTGCTACCTGAGTTGGCTCGGGGCTGGCATTTGCTCAGACGTTTCCCTGCGTCTCATTTCAAGTGCCAGACCACCACACCCTGTCACTCTCTTTTTCGAAATGGTAACCAAGGCTTCAGAAGTACTATGTAGCAAACCAGCAGGAATACCTGCCAGCTCCCTTGGAATCCCATCCAGGTAGGTCCATTAGTTATAGGAAGTAGAGTGATCTAATAGCCCAGCCTCCTTGCAATGGATAGTGGCACCAGAAAACCCCTTAGCAATCAGAGAGCAATTAACCATGACAAAAGGGATACCAAAATCTTTCCCTATATCCAAACACATAGCTACTCTTCCAATTTTCAGTTCTAATATTCTGGAATAGGTCCATTATTATCATAGTGGCCATGAGCTCCCAAGTCACCTCAGGCTCCACCTCTTGAAAAAGTAGATTCAAATTAGCATTATTTCCTCACATCTTTAGTCCTGCTCTGGGGTTTTGGTTGGTGCCACATCAAAATCCAGCTAAACATTTGTCCAAAAGTATAATTCAGTAATACATGTTTTTAAAAGCAAGTGAGCCCATGAAGCTTTGAATAGAGCTTGAAAGCACTGTACAACCAAGACGAATACTAGTTGTTAACCATTTATAGATCATTGTCAAAATCAAGCCCAATACTAGTTGTTAACTATTTATAGATCACAGTTAAATGTTTTTATCAATTTTTACAGTTCCATATATCTACTAGTGCTAGTAATTCAAAATATAATTAGTTTTCCTAATTATATATCTTTAGTTCTGAGTAATGATATTAATTGAAAAAAAATCCCCATTACAGAAAATTAGGAAATTCAAAGTCTGAAAGGTTTATTCACTAGTACGTATCTTTATGCTTGTTCAACATAAATATGAAAGCAAGTCTAATGTTATTTCCCTAACTGGAAATAAAAACTGCATCTAATAAAGCCAATCAAATCAGAGAGAGAGAGAGAGAGAGAGAGAGAGAGAGAGAGAGAGAGAGAGAGGGAGAGAGAGGGAGAGGGAGAGAGGGAGGGGGAGAGAGAGAGAGAGAGAGCGCTATATGGATACAAACTTCAATGATTTGAATGAGGGGATAGATGGAGATTTCATCAAATTTGCAGATGACACCAAGCTGGCAAGAATAGCCAACACTCCAGAAGATAGGCTTAAGATACAGAAGGATTTTGACAGACTTCAACATTGGGCACTATCTAACAAGATAAAATCTAATGATGAAAAAAGTAAGTTTCTACATTTTGGCAAAAATAATGCAAAGGTATAGTATGGGTGGTACCTTGCTCAATAGTAGTAATTATGAGAGGGATCTTGGAGTTTTAGTGGGCAATCACTTAAATATGAACCATCAATGTGCTGCAGCTGCCAAAAAAGCTAAAGCAGTCCTAGGCTGCATTAACAAAGAGATAGAATTGAGATCGCATGAAATATTAGTATCACTTTATAATGCCTTGGTAAGACCAAAATTGGAATACTGCATCCAGTTTTGTTTGTCACAATAGAAAAAAGACATCGAGGCTGTAAAAAGACTGCAGAGAAGAGCAACAAAGATTAGGCGTCTGATGGCTAAAACATATAAAGAATGGTTGCTGGAATTGGGTATGTCTAGGAGTCAACCTATTCTTCAAAACACCTGACAGCGGGACAAGAAGCAGTACATGGAAACTAATTAAGGAGAAAAGCAACATACATACATACATACATACATTCATACATACACAGACACACACAGACACACACACACACATTATGGAATACAATATATAGGGTGATGGAAAATTAGAGTTGTTTCCTTAACAAAAATGTCCTTCACCCATCAGAAATAATATTGAAAGTGGTGTTTTCAGGCTTAATATTGACTTTTTCTTTTTTTGCTTCAGATCAAGAAGATTGATGCATTAAGCCTGCTTTTGCAAGTGGCAATCAGGTTTAAGATAGTAACGAGGCCAAGCTAGCATCTCTCATCGAATACTGAAGGTCAAGATTTCTAAATGCTGTTTCTGTTTATAAATAAACTAGCTATTGTGATAGACCCCAGGATTGCAACCCCAAGGATGTTTTCAACTTTTATGTTGTCAGAAAATGGTAGCTTTATTTATTATGATGAAGCTTTACAGTGCATGCAGATAGTAACGTGTGTCAAAGAGGCAACATATTTTGAAACAGCTGTGACACTTCTCCACTTTTTGTGAAAAGCAAAAGTCATGATTCCATATTCTGAGTTGACAGAACATTAAATGAGGGAGGCAAAGGGTCAAATCACTCAACCCACTTAGGATAATACAACTGAAAATCTGTGGTTCAATTGCTGCTTCTGCTTGGAAGGGAAAACAAATATGATCAGTTGTAAGTGTATAAGCCCTTGACACTTCTGTCAAGGTGAGGCCTTTGCAAACAAGGAATTTGCTGTAGATCTGCACAAAAACCAGAGAAAATGGAAATTTGTCATGAAGGATCAATTCACCTGTGACTGGCACAAGTTCCTGTCCTAGAAAAATGAGACTTAATGGTCATCTAGACAATAAATGATTTTTAGTTGTTACAACTTTGTGATATATTGCAATATAATGAAAGTTGCTTCTATGGCTTATATTTCCTATGCAAAACACTTTGCTTGCTTAGATTATTTCTCATTGCATACAGTACTTATTAAAAGTAAAAAAGCCTTTCAAGTCAAAGCTAAAAGCTTTGTCCATATCAAGGAAGTTGTAGCAATCCTTGGTTTAAATAGAGCAATGTTTTTCAACTTGGCAACTTTAAAATAAGTGGATTTCATTTTCCAGAATTCATGGCTGTTTGGGGAATTCTGGGAGCTGAAGTCCACACATCTTAACATTCTAAGTTTGAGAGACATTGGTCAGTTCCAAGGGCATTCTCCATCCAGACAAACAAAGCCGAATACCATATACATGTATGTATGTATGTATGTATGTATGTATGTATGTATGTATATGTATATGTATATGTATATGTATATGTATATGTATATATTCATATTTGTTAGTTGCTGGCTAAATAGTTCTTTGCAATGTTGATTTACAAACTATTGTTTCAATGTTTATTTCTCCAGCTGGTACCTTCATTCTTCTTTCCCCTCATCTAGCTATGCCAGCTATCTGACAAAGTATCTGACATGCCTTTTTTGCCTTCAGATACTGATGTTTCTGGCTCTACTTTCTTATATTGACATGGGATTTAACTATTTTTCAGAGAGGAAAAATCTTTATTTTTATTATAATTGATAAATAGGATAGCCAGACAGGGTGTTGAAATTTAAAGAAAGAAGGCATCTGCATGACACATACTTAAGATATATTTGGAAAAATAATAACATAGAAAAGCAGCAATCTGAAACAATATTATTCATTATAATGGTTTGCACTGCTTATACTTTCTTTAAATTATGATATGATATATTATACACTTGTTTAGAAAGGAAAGCCACCACTTTTTATTTTAATGGAGCTTTTAGGCCATGATTAAATAACTTGCTACATAAATCATTAATGAATCAACTTTTAGAATATTATTACAAATGCATAATGGCTTGAATTCAAAAAGGTAACAAATAACTAAATAAGTAAATAAGTAATAATAACTAAATAAGTAAATAAGTAATAATAACTAAATAACTAAATAATTATTATATTTCTATAATAATTTTTCCCATTTTTAATAAATTAAGCTTCACAAAATTGTTTGTAAAATATATTAACGTAAACTAGATAGTACATATTAAGAAAATAATATACATAAATGCAGGTTCACTCTATATATTATATAGAGGTCTTGTTTGAAAGTATTTTTTCTATTATGAAAAAGTGCATATGTGTGGGTACTCATGCACAGAAATATATACACAGTTGCTTATTTATCCAGTAGTATTTTATATCATTGGTTAAAATATAAGGTGATACACAATTTTTAAGTTTTTAAGATACACTCTTTTTTGGCTATCCAAATTTTAATTTTAATTACAATGAAATGCACAATTAAAGAAACCTTAATATTCTGACACATACAAAACAAAAATATGTTTTCTCCTGTAATTTTCTTTACAGTACAACTAGGTACTCCAAATATTAAGATTCTTTATTATTATTATTTTTCTTTTCTACACGCACCACAAAACTTTGTAATATTACATAGTTTTAGATGAATGCATTTATGGCCTTTCATTGGTTGCACATTTTACCGTTCCAACAAGTGTTAAGAGTTTTTCTTATTGATTCTTCAAGTTAAGCACTTTCTTTTTCTTATTTCTTTCCATAGTTTGACCTGTGACCCTAGCATCCATTAGGATACCAAAACAGTGAGGTGTAGACACATCGACTACAATGGAATAGAATGAAAATGACACTGTCTCCAGCTAGGGATGCATTAATAGACTTGAATTCAAACATAGAAAAGGCAATTTTTTTCCTGCTGGGAAGCAAAGTCCTCAAGAGAGCCATCTCAGACTGAAAAACATGATATGAAAATCAATAAAGGCCCTATTGTGCTAGTGATGTGCTCGGGAAGTGTCATTTTATATTTTGCTAGGGGAAATCTGAAGGAAGTCAAAGCTATTTGCTGATAATAATTGGATAAAATCCCCTTTCATTATAGGTCAGTTTCGCTTTTCAACATAAAAACGTGAAAAAACTAGAGAAAAACTAATTTTCAAATTAGAACAGATATGTGGTTATGTTTATATCTATTAATTACTAAAAAAGTATTATTTTTTCACAGAACTAGTTTTCTGTTCCACTACTTTAAGACACTAATTTGCCTGTTTTAGTTCAATTACACAACCGGACTTCAGATTTTTATAGTAGCATGAGGTATTGATATGCACAACTGCATGGTATTTTAATTTCAAGCTAGTGTATTTACTTTTGAATTCATTTAAAGAAGCTATATGCTAAGAAGAAACAAAGGGAGGCAGAAAGGGATATTGTGTTATTATAAAACACAAACAGTACATTATATTATTTGGGTACAGATAACTATATATTATTGACTACAAATTATAAACAATGTCAAGTTAGATTACTTAAACTTAACAAACTTTTAAAGATAAAAAGAGTTTATGTAAACATTACCTAACTTTTTCTAAAATGTTAATATTCATAAGTATTAAGTCACTTAACTTTTAAATTTAAAGCTGAGTGCAGCACTGATAAACAAGTACAAAATTGATTAAATGATTTGTCATATAATAAAGGTTTATAATCTCAGATTAATACTTAATATTAAGGGTTATACTGCATTTTTAATTATTTTTATTCATACATGTTAAAAAAATTAAATGATATCTGGTTCTAACTTCTCCCTTCTTTATACCCCATTGTTTTGCCATATTTAGAAATATTTAGTGTCTCTTAGAAAAAATATTGTATTTATATTTGTTGTGCTGCATAATAAATTGTATTTCTGGAAACCATTCTTATTTGAGTTTGCTTAATTGTTAATATATACGCTGTTAATTTTGCCATTTCTGCATATTCTCCAAGTTTAAATTTCCAGTTGGATATCATTTCAGTTGGTAGTTTGTTCCAATGTTGGGAAAAACGTATTCTCATTGTTGTGAGCATTTGTATTAGTACAATATTATTCTCAGCTGCCTCTGAACCCCTGAATAGTCGCTCACATAAAACAGACAGTACTCACTCTTTGATGCAGCCATGTGTCAGCTTTATTTGGAGAAATCAGGATTAACAGCAGCAAGAATGGAAAACCCATGAAAAAACAGCGCTGACAGATAACATCTCTCAGTGCTTTAAATACCTCTTACATAAATCAGCCTTGGGTTATCCAATATCTGCCCCTCCTAATACCACACCCTCCTAATATCCGCCTGCCATCCCGCTTCTCTTATCCTATCCCTCAATCATAAACCCTGTGCTCCTGTTAGTGACTCCTAATGTAGATGTTACTTTACACAGTGCCAACTATTTGTCTGTCAATCACTGTCCTGAGCCTTTGATTAGCAATAGAGTTTCAAATGGAGTTAGGCTATGTGTTTTTTTTCAGTAGCTTAGTCTTATTTGTAATCTTACTAACCTTCTTTAATTGCACCAGCTGGCCAACCTCCTTCTGAGTTCCATTGGCCTTTAACCTCATTTTTGAGGGGTGTATGTACTGCTGTTCTTCTTAATCATGTACCTAAGCAGTTCCATGATTATAGCAGAAGTAGTATATGCTACTTTATTGGTTTGAGTCATGGTGAATGTAGGGATTCTTTTGTGAGGACTTTCTTGGCATCTTCTAGCATACTACTTCTCTGCTAGTATCTCCATCATCTATGACTCATATCAGCTTCTCGGGGAGTTAAGCCTAGTTTTAGCAAGAAAAAAAAGAGCAGTTCTTTTTTCTGCTTAAGCTGGTCATAATTCCACAAGGCGAATGGCTAATGAAAGTGAGGAAAAAAACAGTGAAGATTTATTTTTATCCTATTGGTTGCCACAGTTCTGCCAGCCCAGAGCTAACACTTAGAGACCAAACCAGGGGTGGGATTCTACCGGTTCTCTCCACCTCTGTAGAATTGGTTGCTCTGAAGAGCTGCAAACAGAAAGCATACAGAGAACCGGTTCTATGTCTGCTGCTGTTTTGGCCCACCTACCCGCCCAGGCTCTTACCTGACCTTTATTTCCTGCTTTTTCAACCGCAGCTACTTTGCGCGACACAGCTGCAGTTGAAAAAGCAGGGGAAAGTGCTTTTTCAACTGCTGCATACCCGCACACAGCGCTGCTCAGCTGTCCAGACAACTAGCTGACGATGATATACACGCACTTGCAGCAAAACATAAAATCACCAAACCAGTAGTTACACCGGTTGGATCCCAACCCTGGACCTAACACAGCTAAGCTAGGGAAGCTAAGGCTATCTCAGTTCTTTTTTTCTCACTAAATCTAGCCTTAGATCCACCAGTGTTAGCAAGTTGGCAGAGTCATGACTAGAGTTTTGTTTTTCTCTCTTATCACTAGTAATGCTATGACTCAGAGGTGATATTCAGCAGGTTCTGACCAGTTCTGGAGAACTGGTAGCAGAAATTTTGAGTAGTTTGGAGAACCAGCAAATACCACCTCTGACTGGAGATTTTACAGTATCATTCCCCTGTCATGCCCACCAAGCCACACCCACAGAACCGGTAGTAAAAAAAAATTTGAATCCCACTACTGCTATGACTAGAAATAGCAAGAAAAAGAAGACCATGAGGAGTGCTTTTTCTCTTTATTGCTAGCTATAGCTCTGCCAGTGCAACTACTTGTACTTGTGATTTAACTTTTCTCACTAGCTTTAGTGAGAAAAAGTAAACCACTCAGAAAAAGATGGTTACCTGTAGGACTGTGCCATGTTGCCCAGCAACAGAGCAACCTGTCCACCTTTATCTCTGAAAGATAAATGAGTGATTGATGACAGGTGATGGAGAGAAGGTCAAAGTAGCTATGGAGACGCCAAGGTCTTAGCCCAATGTAGTATCTTGTGGCAGGGAGGCCTTGGGACACAAAAGACAGATGAACTTCTGCCTTGTGACCAAAACTCCAGGGTCTGTCTTCCCCAAACCTGAGGCACTCCATGCTCCACTTAACAACTTGTTTCATGAATGCATTGGATAGTAGGGAGGAGAGTCATTAAAGTGAGGTGGTTCACTTAATGGCCCTTCCAACTTTTGACTGCAATGGACAGACTCCATTACAGTTATAATTTGTGGACAATTTGTATTGTATAATTTATTTATCTTGGATATTCCTGATGGATTTGTGATCCATCTATAAAACATTTTGTATCATTTGTCTTTTAGACTGTAACTTCAAATACATTTTATTGATTTAATCCATAATTCTTCCCATTATGGTGACTATTTCTTTACAATTTGCATCCAGTTTATCAAATAGCTTTTAATTTGTTCTGTTTCTGTGTAACATGTAAGTAGGAGTTCTGATACGTGCTCTTGTATTTGATATTGGGTTTGAAGAAGAAAGAAAACTAACTAAAAATTCAGAACAAAATTTCAGTATAAAATTCCAACAAAACAATACAATAAAAAGGATGAAAACCATAATCAGAATAATTATAATGTCAGAATTAAGAAAGAAGTTTTCCCCAATTATATCTAGAATTCAGGGTAGTTTTTTCTTTTTTCTTTTTTTTTCAGCACTTACAAACATACCTGTTTCAAAAGCTTAATTTTGTTGATGATGCATTTAATAACTCAAAATTAGAAAGTCTTAGTGATCTAATGAATCGTCAGATAATTTCTCATTTTATATTCATTTAAAATTTCTTAAAGGGTTTGGGGTATTTTAGCAAAAAAATCCTAATGCACAAGAGGCAATGGTGAAGCACCAAGGATATTCTTTACAAGTACAAAACAATAGCATCTCCTATATTACATCTTTCTTAAACCTAGAACATCTGAAATTTAACATCTGAAAAGCTGATAGAGGAAATATAGGAAACAGTTGCACAAAATTTAAGAAAGAGATTATATTTTTCTATTGATATTGACTGTACAAAATAAATTATTATGTTGGAATTATGACCCTTTCTGAATTTTGTATTATATGTGGAGTTCAAAATAATCTTTTTGCCTATGAATCAGTGTGTGTGTGGTGGGGTGGAGGGGTGGCTAGCTGACTGGCTGGCTATTTATTTGTCCCTCTCATAGAAGTAACATTATCGTGTTATACATTATATTTCAATCTAAATGAAATGTATAGTATTCAAAGGGTTTGTTTTGCAGTCATTCACAATGTGTAAAATATGACTTAATTACCAAAAAGGCAGAAAGATGTGTGACAATAAAAGCTATTCTTATTATGATGCTTTGCATAAAAGCTCAAAATAAGTACTTTCCAGCCACACCAGATGCATAATTAGTACATTCCACAATGCTGGCATCCGTATTCCATTATAGAACACAGCAGATGTATTTTTTCTTAGTTTGCTGCCCTAACCAAATCATGTTTGCTCTAAGTCAGCAGCTGATTCAAAAGGAATTTTTGAAATATCCTGTCATGAAATTTCTAAAGCTTCACATTCCTACAGCACTTTTAAAACTTCCATCAACATCCCATGTACTTGAAAAGTATTTCCATTTACTACATGTCCTAAAATAAAATAAAGTAAAAAATGCCATATACTTGGATGTTGAAATTATATTATGTAAATATGATTGGCTTCAGCTTTTATGATACAAGACTGCCAAACATTTTCACTACTGGTTAGAAAGAGCAAGCAGGACCCACTTTCCACGAAACATTTATTTACTGATTGATTGATAGGGTAGAATATTTTTCTTCCCTGTTTTCAGTTTAGGGTTCCTTAAGTATCAGATAAACCAAACCTGCAATCCTATACTGTAAGTAATTAGTTTGGAAAACACCCTTCAAAATAATAGTTGGGCAAAAGTGTGTAAAATTATAATAAAATAAGGGTACAATACTCCCAAATGTAATTCAGGTATATTGTAAGTCCAACTGGTGGGGCATGGTTCTGATAAATACTATATTGACAATTACTATTGACAAATTAATACAGAGATATTAATGTTATCTGAAATTATGTCCCAAAACTTCATAATCTGATCATTTGAGGAATGACATCAGTCTTAGCCTTGATATATATAAAAAAAATGAGAATTTGGAAGCCTAATAATATTACAACCTTTTTTTTGTCAATGTGGAATTATAAACTTCTTTGATATTTTCTCCATTTTGAAGGAAAAAGATTTAGTCAAAAATAGATCTTTGATATTATATGACTGAGTCCTTCTATCCATTAAGGACAGATGCTAAGCCAAAGTGCAAAACATTTTAAAAAGAATATCACTGTCTTTTCTGGCAAGCTGAGATTCTAAATTATGTTATCAGTGGGAAAGCTCCATGAAGAAATTTCGAACAGAGATAGCTCAAGAGTTAGAGTTAGTCTCATTCCACTGAAAGTCTGGAAAAGGTGCTGCATTTATAGGTGAAACTCGAAAAATTAGAATATCGTGCAAAAGTTCATTTATTTCAGCAATGCAACTTAAAAGGTGAAACTAATATATGAGATAGACTCATAACATGCAAAGCAAGATAGTTCAAGCTGTGATTTGTCATAATTGAGATGATTATGGCTTAAAGCTCATGAAAACCCCAAATCCACAATCTCAGAAAATTAGAATATTACATGCAATCAATAAAACAAGCATTGTACATAGAACAATATCCGACCTCTGAAAAGTATAAGCATGCATATGTACTCAGTACTTGGTTGGGCTCCTTTTGCCACAATTACTGCCTCAATGCAGCGTGGCATGGAAGCTATCAGCCTATGTCACTGCTGAGGTGTTATGGAAGACCAGGATGCTTCAATAGTGGCCTTCAGCTCTTCTGCATTGTTCGGTCTCATATCTCTCATCTTTCTCTTGGCAATGCCCCATAGATTTTCTATGGGGTTCAGGTCAGGTGAGTTTGCTGGCTAATCAAGCACAGAAATCCCACAGTCATTGAAACAGGTTTTGGTGCTTTTGGCAGTGTGGGCAGGTGCCAAGTCCTGCTGAAAAATGAAGTCAGCATCCCCATAAAACTCATCTGAGGAAGAAGCATGAAGTGCTTCAAAATCTCCTGGTAGACAGCTGCGTTGATCCTGGACATAATAAAGCACACTGGACCAACACCAGCAGATGACATGGCTCCCCAAACCAATACAGACTGTGGAAACTTCACACTGGGCTTCAAGCATCTTGCAGTGTATGCCTCTCCATTCTTCCTCCAGACTCTGGGCCCTTGGTTTCCAAATGAGATGCAAAAGTTGCTCTCATCAGAAAACAGGACTTTGGACCACTGAGCAACAGGCCAGTTCTGTTTTTCTTTAGCCCAGGTAAGATGCTTCTGATGTTGTTTGTTGTTCAGGAGCGGCTTGACAAGAGGAATACAACATTTGAAGCCCATGTCCAGAATCCATCTGTTTGTGGTGGTTCTTGATGCACTGACTCCAGTCTCAGTCCACTCCTTGTGAAAGTCCCCAACACTTTTGAATTGCCTTTTCCTGACAATCCTCTCCAGGCTGCAGTCATCCCTGCTGTTTGTGCACCTTTTTCTTCCACACTTTTCCCTTCCACATAACTTTCTATTAATGTGCTTTGATACAGCACTTTGGGAACTTCCAACTTCTTTTGCAATTAGCTTTTGAGGCTTTTCCTCCTTATGGAGGTGTCAATGATGGTTTTCTGCACAACTGTCAGGTCAGCAGTCTTTCCCATGTTTGTGATTCCTACTGAACCAGACTGAGGGACCATTTAAAGGTCCAGGAACCCTTTGCAGGTGTTATGGCTTAATTAGCTGATTAGAGTGGGACACTTTGAGCCTAGAATATTGAACCTTTTCTAATTTTTCTAATTTTCTGAGATTGTGGATTTGGGGTTTTCATGAGCTGTAAGCCATAATCATCTCAATTGTGACACATCACGGCTTGAACTATCTTGCTTTGCATGTAACGAGTCTATCTCATATATTAGTTTCACCTTTTAAGTTGCATTACTGAAATAAATGAACTTTTGCCTGATATTCTAATTTTGTGAGTTTCACCTGTATATTATTATATCTATTTGTTTTAATGGCATTACATTTTAAAAGTTTGATAAGATTGATCAAAGTCTACTTGTTAATTTTACATTTAAAAAGGACTTTTTGAAATATGTGGTAAAAATATGTGAGTACAGAAACTGCATACACAAATACATGTAAATTTTTTACAAATCTATTTTTTACAAATAGATGTAAATTTTTCTGGTGGATTGAAAAAAAAATCCAGCATACAATTTCTCACTATCAGGGTAACACCAAATGGATTTCTCTCAATGCATACATTTCTAAATATAATAAAAAATATATAGATGTTATATAATATCAAAGTAAAACAGAACTTAAATAAACAGAAATGGCATATACGCTCTCAGACTATGTATGGAATAAAAATTCTTAACAGAATTTTAAAGCAAATGAAACATTTCCTTCCTGTGATTAAGCAAGTTTAACATATTATATTATATTTTGAAATAAATGTTAGCTTAAGCATCTTAATCAATTTACTGCAAATCAATTTACTACAAATAGTTCACTTTTGACAGTTGTAAAATTTGTACCCTACTGCCAATTGTCATTCATTCTTGAAGCTGTGCAACCCATATGAAATACTGATAACTTAGGCTTCATTCAGTGAGCAGAGAATTTAAAAACAATTTGTTTGTAACATTTGATGCAAACTAAATGAGGTAGTCAAGATGTGCTCCACTTAATTTAAATGATAACACTAGAAGATGGCTAGTATTTAATGAACAACATAAAATGATAGCTATATATTTTTCTGTTTGGTATCCGTCAGTTTCTGAAATTATATGAAACTGTACCAGATTTGTATCTTCTAATATGAGTTCCTGTCAACCAAGTGAAAAGCAAGAGAAAATTTCAAGCTGAGAAACAATATACAAGTTATTAACCTCTTCTATAGATATTTTCTCATCCCATTAATCCCATCAATCCATCTGTTTCCTAGCCCTTTCCCTTTCTAACTTTTTTTTCAAAGTGTTGCTTTAAAGAAAAACATCTGAAGAAAGAAATTCAGATTATTCTTCTCTGGCAACATTGAATTGTTAACTAGGGCATACAAAACCTTTGCCAGACCAATTATTGAATACAGCTCGTCCGCCTGGAACTCACACTGTATATCAGACATTGATACTATTGAGCGGGTTCAGAGGTATTTCTCGAAAAAAGTACTCCACTCCTTCACTCACAATAGAATTCCTTATGCCTCCAGGCTTGACATTTTGGGCCTGGATAATCTGGAACTGTGCTGCCTGCAGTCCAATCTAAGCATAGTTCACAAAATTGTCTGCTATAACATGTTGCCTGTCAATGACTTTAATCACAATAATACACAGGCAAACAACTGATACAAATTCAAGGTAAACCACTCCAAACTTGAATGCAGAAAACACGACTTCAGCAACAGAGTAGTCAATGCCTGTAACGCCCTACCCGACTCTGTTGTTACAGCTTCAACCCTTCACAGCTCCAACCTCAAACTGTGGTAGATGAAGGAAGTCATCTGGCTGTTTTTACAAACTGTCCTGCCCTGTCTGTCAAGAAAGCAGATGTCAGCTTCTGCTAGAGTTTGTTGAAACTTGTACAATAAAACACTTTACTCACAGTCCTGGTGTGGCAAGACGTGTTTATTATGGTTTGTTTCCTCCAACAACAACAATAAACAGCAATTCTGAGCAAAGCCAGCACTGAGAGCATCTACTTCTCAGTGCTTTTTATAATCCCTTTCCACACCAAATAATTAGATAACACCCACTCCTAAGAAACACCCAACATCTGCCTACAGCAATCTTGCACGCCAACTCTAATTCTAACCACGGTGCAAATCCCCAAATAACACCTCCCCCCAGGTCCCACCCTGATCCAACTGAGCCGATATCCCCCATATGAAATGCTGACCAGCCGATACTATATCCCCAAATGTTTCCGGCTGGTCGTGTTGAAAAGAGGGAGAGGTGTTGTGCTTTGAGAGTTGCAAAATGCCAAACAGCTGACAAGGCAGTCTCTCAGCCAGTCGCGCCGAAGTAGGGAGAGGAGGTGCTCCCAGATTTGTTATCTGTCATCGTCCCGGGGTCGCTGGAATGGGCACTTCACCCCAACCATGATGACGTGCATAGCGGACCACAAATACTGAACAGCTGACAAGACAGCCTCCCAGCTGGTTTTACCAAAGTAGAGGGGAGGATTCATTAGCTAATGGATTCATTAGCTGTCATCGACCCAGGACCGTCAGGATGGGCAACTCGCCCCCAACCATGATGACATGTTGGGCTTCATTCCATCAGCAGCATTGTTGAAGCCTGACAGCAGAGCTTTGTGTTCTGCATTTCAACATTAGTTCCACCTTAAGCTTTCCAACTCATACATCCATTCTAATAATGGATAGCAAGGATTTATTATCCTGCTAGATCTCCTTTTGTGTGCAATGCTTATTTACACTAAGTATATTGAGCCCACAAGCTAAGAATCATCATGGGGACCTTTCATTCTAATTTACAGAATCATATATAACGTTTTTGAAACTATTCTTTCATTAAAAATGATTTGGAAAACATTATTCTAATGCCCCACGTGGTTTTAAAGAAATGGACTTATACATATCATACATACTGAAGATGGCATCTACAGACAGATATCTTTAAAACTGAAAGCTGCTATTCTGGCCTCCTACGTACTCTGCTAATATCTTTGTGAAATGATTTTCCCTTCAAACTTCAGTCTTGCAACTATTTTACTTTCTAATCCTAACCCTAAACCTGATAAGAAGGGAAAAAGTCAAGCAAATCTCTCTCTGGTGTTCCCTTATGGTTTGGACACAATCAGAGTGTATCTAATTGTGCTCACTCTTTCTTGCTTGGGTGGGAAAATAAAAATAGATTATACACACTGTCCTGTATTTTTTCAGATCTTCAGGTGTCAACCTTTTGAGTTAGTCCAGATCAGGAATTCTAAGTTAAGAATACTAATATTATTTTTATTAAAAAAGATCACAGTAACAATCTTGCAAGTCTGAATCTTCCCCTTCCTTGTCTGCCTTTTCATTCAAGAGAATTAGTGAGAGTCATGTTTGAGATGGGTTTTTTCCTATTACATTCCTACATCAGCTTCCATTTTCTCGTTTCTGACCATTGATTTGACTGTGGCTTTCTTTCCTGTTCCCCAAGATTATTCTCAGAATCCTTTAGGTTGGAGCTCAGAGAAGACAGGAGGACTTTGGCATCCCCTTAGTCCAGAGGTCTCCAAACTTGGCAACTTTAAGACTTGTGGACTTCAACTCCCAGAATTCCTCAGCATAGCTGGCTGAGGAATTCTGGGAGTTGAAGTCCACAAGTCTTAAAGTTGCCAAGTTTGGAGACCTCTGCCCTAGTCATTCTGGGTCCTGAGTGGCATGTTGAAGATGATGGTAGAAGAGCAACAGGAGTGATAACAAGGGGCAAGGAAAAATAGGAGTTTAGGAGGAACAATTTTAATATTTGGGACAAGGGGAGATTTTAGGATCCTGGGTTAATAGGTTGAGTTTAAGAAACTTTTTAATCTGATGGTGATGAAATCATTATTTCCTTTTTGGAGAAAAAGATTGTGGTTGTTCTTAGAGGCAATTTTCTGGTGAAAATGGTAGTAGTCCTATCATGTCCAAATTGTATGTAGAGGGAAGGAGTAATGCAGTAGAAAGATTATTTAGGATTTGGGTTGGGTTTGAAATGTTTCATTTTTTTCTTTTTTCTTTTCTTGTTGTAATTCTTCTTTGCATAGTGAGTGGCAATTGCTGAAACCTAAAATATGTGCTTTTAAGTGATGAAAATATTTTAAAAATTAAAACTTCTATCCTCTGTACATACAAGGCATGGGGTGTATGTGTGTGTGTGTATGAAATTAATAGATGGTAGGCACATATAGTACATTAGAATCCTGATAACAAAAACAAAGAAATCTTATTGTAGTTTATATATTAAAGAGGTGTATATGAATATGTTTCTGAAATGTTCATTAAGTGCGTTTTCACTTGCGAGGCTTCTATTTTTATGGTTACTGGAACTACAGATATTGTGGTATAAAAGAGAGATTGTCATCCTGCAGGATGCTAGTGATATTGTTATCTATCATGATGTGACTTTATCTCCTTGCTATTGCAGCATTAACTAAGAACCATGATGGCATAGTGGTTAGAATGCAGTATTGCAAG